GTTTTCTCTGAAGGTCTGGGGATGGAGTAGCTGGGCCTGGTCTTCCTCTGGGGATCCAGCAGGGAAGAAGCTGCTCCTCTGGGAATCCAGCAAAGGGCTGCCCTGGTGTCCCAAAAATGCTGATTTTATGCAGGTAGGAATGCTTGGCTCCTCCCTCTGGGTGGAGCATCTCACCATGGGATGATGGAACTTTACCAGCCATGCAGGGAGTCATTAATGGCCCATTAACAGAAGATATCTCCCCGGAGGGAGACATTGTTCTTGGGAGAGATAAGAAAACTGTCCCACCTCCAAGAGATGGCAAATAGAATCCATGCTGATCTTACAAACCAGGACACCCTTACAGCCAGTTCAGTACAGTCAGACCAGACTGATCCTTCAATCCAAACAGCATCGCCAGTTAAGAAATCACCCTTTGGTAAACAAATCTCCATAACACATTCCACATGTGCACAGCAACAGGCGCAACAAGTGAAGATAAGAATTATTTCTCATTCTTTTCTCTGATCTCCTCAGAGCCTTCCCCAGGGCAATGCCTGGGAAAGTTGTGCCTGCAGCTCTGTGGCCACAAGGAGTCTCAGCTGGATTTCCAAGGACACTGGGATGATTTCACAGAATCACAGAATCACTGGGTTGGGAGAAACCTTCAAGATCATCGAGTCCAACCCAGCCCCAACACCTCAACTCAACCCTGACACCCAGTGCCACATCCAGGCTTTGTTAACACACCCAGGGATGGGGACTCCACCACCTCCCCAGGCAGCCATTCCAGAACTTTATCACCTTTCTGTAAAAAACTTCTTCCTAATATCCAACCTGAGTTTCCCTTGACTTGATGAAGGACTGAGGTCTCTCCCCTGGCACTGCCAAACTTAAACAATCCTTTAAACATCCGAAAGCCTGGGAGGGGAGGGGACAGCCCCAGTGGGGCTCTGCTGTCCCCTGCTCCCTCTGCCCCCCGGCCATGCCCTCCCACCCCTGGCTGGGAGTGCAGGGGCAGCCCTGGAGCCGTGGGTGCCCCGGGCTCAGCTTTGCCCCCTGCCCAGTGTCAGCTCCCAGGGACCTTCACTCCCTTCATGTTTCCACTTTGGTGCTATTTTTGTTCCACTTTCCCCTTGTCTTCAGTGCTGTCTTGTCTCAGTTTTGTGTCTTGGGCTGCCTCACATCCCCTCTTTGTTCTCTGCAGGAGTCTGCTCCATCCCTGTCCCCTCTTGCTCCTTTATTCTCTGTGTGTTTTCCTTTGTTTGCTCCTTTTCCCTTGTTATTCCTTTTGATTGCTTATTTCCACTCCAGATTTTTTTTCACACTCTCTCATTCTTTCCTGGTTTTCATCTCTCTTCTTCTTTTCTTCTTGCTTTGTTTCCCCCTTTTTCTTCTCTCTCCTGATGGTTTTGTTCTTTGTATGTGCTTCGATTCCTCCCCTCCTGCTTCCCTCCCCGAATTCTCACTTTGGGTGGAAAACCAGCCTTTGATTAAATTTTAACCAAACTGCCTAAAATCCAAATCCAGATCTTTTTTCTTTCTCTTTTTATTGCTAAGAAGGAAACATTAGCACAGCTCGTGACAGCAACTGGTGCCCATCCTGCTGCAGTGCCTTGGCACAGGCTGGCAAGTGGGGATGCCACGGACAAAGCCCTGGATTTTCCAGATTCCAAGCCCTCCCTGCCATGGGTAGGTGCAGACAGTGGGTGGATCCTGGTTTCAAGCAGCAGAAATCCCTGGTGCTTGGGGACAGGTCTCTCTGAGGTGTGGGGTGAGCCTGTGCAGGGTCTGGATCACCCATGGAGATCCAGGAGACAAAGGGATGATCCCTTTGGGTCGTGGGATGGGACAAAGTGGATTTGCTACAACCTGGATTTGCTACAAGCTGGGATAGTCTCTTTTTCTAATGAGGAAAAAAAAAAAAACCAAACTCAAAGTTCCACTGGTTTTTATGCTGTTCTTGTTGAGCTGAATGAGCAGAAGAAATGCCTGCCCAGGTGTGCCCTGGCGTGGTGGGACTTCCAGGGGAAAAAACAGGAAATGTGGGGCAGTAAAGGGGGAATCAAGAAAAGGAAATGAAGGGATCAGGCCAGATTTGGTGGAGATGAGCACTGGGCTCATCCCTGGGCTGCTGCCTCTGGGATGGGGCTGGCTTTGGCCAGAGGAAGGTGCTGGACCCGGCACAGGGAACTGGGAAGGGTCAGCCCTGCCACCATGGCTGGGTTGGGAGGTGCTGGGCAGCTGCTCGGTCCCCAGGATGCCCAAACACAGCCCCTTCCTGGGGGATTTTCATCCCATCTGGTCCTGAACTGCTTTCTCAGGCACCCCGTCCTCCCTGGCAGAAATGGGGTTTGTGGGTCCTGAGTCCTTCTCCCTTCCCCAGCCCTGACAGGGAGGCTGGATGGGTTCTTTCCTTCTGTTCTTCTTTCCCGTGTTGTGTTTCTTCTGATCCAGAAAAGATCAAGCCACAACTCTGTGTTTCCCAGCCCCAAACCAGCAGAACCCTCTGGTCATCGTGGAATCACAGAATCCCAGAGTGGTTTGGGCTGGCAGAGACCTCAAAGCCCATCCAGTGCCACCCTCTGCCACGGGCAGGGACACCTCCCACTGTCCCACAGCCTGGCCTTGGGCTCTGCCAGGCATCCAGGGGCAGCCACAGCTGCTCTGGGAAATCCATTCCAGCACCTCACCACCCTCAAAGGGAGGAATTTCATTCCAATATATGTGAAATAAATCCACAACCTCTTGTGATAGATGAGAAACGCCAACGGTTGACTCACAGTTAAAAGGCAAATATCCTGTATATATGTTAGGAGAAGTTTTATAGATTTAGAGTTATGTTTTACCCCCCTTGTGTTGTTATCAGGGGTGCTCTGGGTTTGGGATATTTGGGAAGGTTGGCTTGTTAGCATGGCAGCAGCTGAGCCCCAGTCAGGATGTCAGAAGTGATCCCAGCACTGGACAGGGAAGGAGGAGTCCATGGACAGAACTTTGGGAGGGGTAAAGGGTTAAAAGGTGAAACCTCCATTGTGTGGGTGAGCACATGGTGGGAAAAATCTGCTTTAATATTTTCTCTATTCCCTCTTCTGTTGTAGTTTTGATAAGGTTTTAATAAACCTTCTAAATTTTTTGGGAGTATCATTCCTCAGCCCCTGGAGCCAGGAAGCCTCCACGTTTGGTGCAGAGCCTTCACCCATCCCAAACCCTCTCTGGGAAGAGCCCATCCAGCTGCTGAGTGTGTGACCCAGTGGCCCCAGGATCAATTATAAATGCCATTAATTATCGGCACTCCTCTCCCGCTGCTCGGGTAATTCCCTTGACCTCCCGTGTTTAAGCGGAGCAGCTCCTGCCGAGCTGCTTTGTTGCAGTTGATAGCGAGATAATTGCAATGCCATCAGTGGTTAAACTGCTTCAATAGCGCCGGGCCCTCTCCTCGGGCCTTTGATGGATATCTAACAGAGATTGCAGATTAATCAGCTGCTGGCTGAGCGAGCGCCGACAACGGCAGAACATTGTTATAGATACACACGATAATATTGGCTTTTCACAAACGTTAAAATGGATTTTATATGTGTGATACTAAAGTAACTTTGTTCTAAAGATATCGCTTTTATTTCTCTTGTTAATTAAGATTAGTGCAATAGCTGATATAAATATACTTGTGTTAAAATGCTGCTGGAATGGGATAACATCCAATGGACACAGGATGAGAACACCTGGACAGATGTGCCACCCATCAGCACTCACTGACTGAAGGCAGCGTGGGCCAGGACCAAACTGGAAGTGCTAAAGAGGAGCCAAAACCCCAACCAAAAAACACAAATACTCTAACAAGGCAGACCCGAGGAGGGGCCATGTAAATACATATTCCTGGAAAATGCAAACTAGCTTATGGATATGCATAAGAGTCTATGAATATGAAGCAGGCTGATGGAATTAAAAGGTATTTAAGATAACAGGACGCCAAGATGCACCTGGTCATAATAACCTTTGCTCTGTGGTCCTTGTTTCCTATTGTCCTTTATTATAACTTTTTACATTTTCAACGGAGAGTGAACGTGTTTTTCACAACGTGACGTTCCCGAGATGCACATCCCAAAACCAGAACGTGGGGAGCGTGCTGGGGCCAGGATGTGGAGCTGGCTGCTCACCAGTCCTGCCAGGGAGAAGGAAATGCAGCCTGAAATCTTCTCCCAACTCTCACCCATCCCTGTTAGCACCAATTTCCTTTTCCAGGGAACAGCAACAGCAGCAGGCAGAGAGGGGGATTCACTTCTCAGTCTGACAGGAATTACAGAAGAGTTGGAGTTGCAGGGTGAGGAGGGAAAAATGCTGTTTAAAATTTACTTTAATATTTGATTGTTGCAGTAAGGTAGAAAAATTATAAGAAAAAGACCTCATAAAAATCAGGTCTGCTCTGTTATTTCAGTGGCTGGCCTTGTCAGGCTTTGCAAGTTCCCGTGTTAAAGCAATCCTGGTGTGAGCAGTTCATTGACACAACAATCTGTTCCTGGGTAAAAACCAGGAACAGCACCTGTAGAAACTGGTTTTACACTGTCAGATAGGAAAATGAAAACTATCTCTCACAAACAACTTTTCCTACACATACACACTGGGGCTTGGAGTGACCAATCAATTCAGGGCAACAACTTGTTACTGACCAATAAAGTAATTAGTGAGAAAGCTCCTGACTAATTGGAGTCCCACTCGAGGTCTGTAAAACTGTATAAAAACCAGTTATGTGAATAAAGGAGGGGCTTTTTCCACCATGAAGAAAATGGAGTCTGTGAGATTTATTCTGGTATTTGATGGCCCATGGAATGAGGGGCCCATAGTGTTCCAAATTTCCCCAGGAAGAGGCAGGAAGTAAAACATATTTATTACCTGAGCCTTTAAACCTTAAAACCTGGGGATCAACCAGCTGCTTTTCATGTTTTATGGAGGGGTTTCCCCCACCCCACGAGTTTGTGTAGGAAATGATGGAAAGTAATCCACTCCCCTGTTTCTCTGTGATTTTGCTGTTGGGCTGCACTGGGACACATCCAGCCAAAAATGCTGCTCCTGCTCCTTGAGGAGACCCAGCCAAATTTCCTCCTGCTCCCATCCAGGGCAAGAGGGATGAAGTTTTCCTGGAACCACAGAGTACCCTGGAAGGGACCCCCAGGGATCAGCAGTGCAGCTCCCAGCCTTCAACAGACACCCCAACAATCCCAGCCTGGGCATCCCTGGAGCTCTGGCAGCATCAGGGCTGTGCCCATTCCATGGGCAGCCTGCTCCTTGGAGATGTGGGGTCAGTTCAGATGTGTAACTGCATCCTAGAACGCCTCGCTCAATGCCTGGACCCGTGTGAGACTATGAGCAGCACGGGAAAGGTGTGATTGTTTTCCAGAGAGTTTTATTTTCCTGCTTGTGATGCGGTGGGAGCACCCAGGGTTCTGCTGAGTTTGCTTTAATTATTGTTATTTGTGTGTAAACACACCACGAGCTTGTTGGAACCACTGGGCTGGAAAACTGCCTGCGAGGCTCCTGCTCCTCTCAGCAGTGTTTAAAACAGTTCAGGAGTGTTATTTCCCAGCTCCCCTGCCTGCCTCAGCTCCGGGTGTTTATCACGACAGACC